CAGGAAATCATGGAGAGAGAAAAAAAACAAGAGAAATCACAAACGTGGCTGCCCGAAATAACTAGCACCATGTTAATCGTTAATCTTAAGTTATACTTCCCCCCCCCCCAAAAGGATACAAGCGGTTCACTGAGGATGTCCTGCTCATGGTCGGAGACGTCCGAAGCACCAGAATCATCTTCTACGCCTACTACATATGGAACTGGATATTCTTTGCCCCTGTCCTTATACTGGTCAGTGTGTCAATAATTGTTGACAACTCAACACATCTTATTTTTTTAAAATTATTTAATCATTTAAATTTGGGACAATAAATTAATGTGTTTTTGTTTTTGTTTTTTTTTGAAAACATATATATTGATAATGAAGTTCGTAACTTATAATTCAAAATTATCACGATCTAAGATATGACAAAATTTAAATGGCCGGTAAATGAATATTTTAAACCATGATTAGCATTCTGACAATGTTTTTAATTAGTTTATATTCATCACAATGCACTCCGGCGCCCCCCCCCCACCAGACGGCCAGGCTTTTATCTGGTTTGATGGGGGGGGGGTGTAAGGCATTATCTAATTACAGATGAACAGTTTCTACAGACCCCCCCCCCTTTTTTTTCACACTATTATAATATTTGAGTGTTTCTTCTATGAACCAATCACAGATGATCATTTTTCCATGTTTCACCAGGCTATCATCGTGTTCGAGTGTGTCCAGTACGAGCCCATCATAGATGAGCACTACCCAGACTGGGCTGAGGCTTTGGGTTGGCTCATCGTGGCTGCCGTCATGATCTGGACACCGGCCTGGTACATCATCAAGTTCTTGGTAGAGTGGAAGAAGAACAACTTCAGGAAAGGATGGAAGGTAAAGGAATGTACTCCAGAATATGACGCTTTGGAGTGTTGGACGAGAGGGGAAAAGAATATCGCATAAGCTTACTAGCTCCGGATAAAGATCTGTGAAAAAAAAAAGGGGGGGGGGCTTAATTTCGATCCCCTCTCCCGAATAGCGTCACTAGGGGGTGGGAATGGGAGACAACATCGACTGGCACAATGGGATCTATGTATTAGCTTTACGTTAACTAAATGTTGATGTGTTGTTGTTTTTTGTAGGACGTTATTTTAAGTGTGCATACATCCGCAGCAGTTAGTTCAAGTGCCCCCCCCCTTTTTGGTTCCCCAGCAGCCCCCCCCCCCCTCACCAAAATTATTATGCTTCATTTTGAGTTGGAGTCAAACTTTTGTTAAACATCCCAAATGAGAAATAATGAAGTATATCTTTTTAACGACCAGCCGCTTATTCCCTGAAACACTAAGATAAAATTGAGCTGTTTATATTATTCATCACGGTTATCATCGAACGACCGACAGCCTTCACAAATTCTCTGCATGCTGTACTCAAACGACGATAATCTTCCCGCTGTACTCAAACGACGATAATCTTCCCGCTGTACTCAAACGACGATAATCTCCCCTTCTGATGCTCTCAGTCGTAGTCAAAGTGTCCCGTCTTGTGTTGATTCACATGACTTTTCGTCACCCACTCCCCATAATTCCATAACTTGCTATATATGTAGATGCCATACAAGTCACTGCCATGCATTACATCATTACAAGTACGTTCAAGAGACAAAATTTAGTCAACCGAAGAAAAAGGTGCGGGGGCAAGTCACGTGACTCGTTCTTCTTTAAGAGTGTCCAGCGATGTGGCTGGCATGAAATATTGCTTGATGTGATATGACGTCATCCCTTACCACTCCACATTTCCTCTCTTGATGTGATATGACGTCATCCCTTACCACTCCACATTTCCTCTCTTGATGTGA